TTTTTCATCAATATCCATACATTTTGCTAAAGTATAGTTACTAACGTAAATATTATGAAGTACTTTCAGATGTATTTCCCGAAGTTTGCTAGATATACAAAACCGAAAGGGAAAAAAACTAGCTTTGGAAAACAAATGTTCCAGAACGTGCTTTGTGTGGCATTCTTGTGCTGTTTTGACGTGTGACGTCACGGGCGCTGCGGCTCTGTCAGATTGAGAATGAAAGGAGGCGATACAGGAGCAGAGGATGATTTATAGGATGAGCGAAATACTAAACATACACTAAGAGCAGCTAAGAAGTAAGGTTGAACGGTTTGGGAGATTCGACGCCTGCTGTTTTAGGCATTTGTAACAATCCTGGTAGTAATCCGACAATCTAGTCTTTAGAGACAAAAGCAAATGTGTAGCCTTTGCTTTATTGTTGTCGTGACTAACGCCGTTGACTTGAAGGAATCAGTTCATTTATGTCGCGCGTTTCATCCGGACTACGATAAACGTTTTATATGGTTTCCACACTGACTGGAGTGACCTTACTTGTAAGTAACTTAAGCAGATTCGTTTATCTAGACAATATCACAGTCATGATATTATCGTGCTGGATAATATCCATTAGTAGCTACAAGGTGGACTATAATGAAACGCAGATATTCATTTTGAAGACTTTTTTATACATATTGTAAAACTGTCTGTTAACGCAAGGTACTGCAGATTAGAAGATACGGAGGAACGTCATGACGACACCTGCGTAGATACGCCCGTTACAAAAACCAACCACGTGATCTCATGTTTTACAATTAACACGATGCACGGGGCGTGAGTGTTGTCTGTTTTTTTTTTCATTTCTTTGCACAAAGATCTAATAAGCGTACAATATTTTATATAATTCTTTATGAAAGATGATTGCGTTTCATTCCACGTGGTTTGTGTGATCTGCGCTAAATGTCAGAACAGCATGTTAAAACAAATAGCATCTTTGTCATTTTTAATGTTGATTTAGATCAGTGGTTTTCAAACTTTTTGATGCCAAAGGCCCCCATATGGACTGCATCGTTTTTCTGTTAGATTAACCTCCTTGCTGCACATGGTGGTCGTTTTCTCAAAAATAATAAGCCTTAATACCTAGCTGCAACAATTCCGAACGGTTTGTGGTTATTGATGAAATCATTCATTATTAGCAAGATCCTTAGATCACACCAATACTGAATCAGGCAGGATACTGAAACAGGATATACTTTTGTTTTTTATGTTTTATAATCTTCAATCTCATTTGTCTGCATTGTTTACAGGGGGCCAAAGCTGGACATGTTCTAGTATCTCATTGAGAAGCTGCCAAGCTGGACGAGTCCAGTTCTGAGTGCTCGAGAACAGACCCTACAGAAGCCGTACACCTTGGACCCATCCCGGAAGAGCAGTATGTAGGCGAAGGAACTGAGAAACCAGTGCCTCTAGCGCCACACGCCCGCTACAGGGACGCAGAAACAATCACAGGTCAGAACGTGTGTGACTGTGTGTTGTTTCATTACAGGATGCACAAGATGTACTAGTGTTGATTTTCACATCTCTGTTTCTCTCTCTCTCTCTGATATAGATGTTTGTAACAGCACAGAGCTCCCTGAGGTGGAGATTATCAGTCTGCTGGAGGAGCAGTTGCCGGTCTACAGGCTGAGGGCAGACTGTGTGTACGGCTATGAGCACGACGACTGGATCCACACACCTCTCATCTCACCCGACACACGCATAGACCTCACCTCTGAGCAGATTGAGGAAACCCTCAACTACTTTTGTGAGTGAAAGAGGCTTGTTATCATGATAAAGATTTATTACCGCTAACAGGTTTCTGTGCATCTTAAAAAGGTCTCAAAAAGTCTTAATTCACCCTTCCACTTTTTCTTTTAATTTTAAGAAAACATAAACTTTAAAGAAACATTTCTTGCACAATTAAATTTAATCAAAATTATAATTTCGTAGTACAGCTGGCAGAGGAAAGCTCCACTAGTTTGTGCTACTGGAGCTAAATAATTGCTAGAGTTACTGGTTGTCTGCAGATTCCTCTACCTTTTATCTGGTGGAGTGAGTTGTGATCTAATATTTGAGTTAAGATAATAAAACCTTTTTTCCTGGCCATATAATATGATAGTGCTGATTTTTCCAGGTTTTAAAGGACCTAGATGTAACAGAATATGTTGCTTGAGATATATCAAGGTCATTGTGAAAAATGAACTGTGTTGCCACTGACATGGCTCAGCCAGTAGATGGTGCTGGTTTCTTCTGTTTCCTGCACTGGTTTTGTCAGTGAGATAAGAGTTTAAAATAAAGTGATCTGATGTAAAGCTACGGCTGATTGCAGCCCATGTATTGTAAGCAATATTTTCTCTGGAAATAAAAAAAAAAAGCCAATATTGTGACTTGTGAACTGTACTGTAAGTTAAAACATAAATATTAGAACAAATGTTACATAATATTGTAAAAGTGTTTATAGTGAAAGATAAGCTATCATTCAAAAGTTTGGGGTCAGTAGGAATTTTAAATGTTTTTAAGGAAGTCTCTTATGCTCACCACTAGGGATGTAACGATTAACCGGTTGAAGCCGGTTGAAAATCGATTCAAATATGTGACGATTCAAATCGGTTGAGATGCTAAACAAATCGCGGTTCATTTAGGTGTAGGAGTTTATATGAATCCATGTCTGAGGGGAACTTACTGTCTTTAGAAAAGTTTAGATGGTACTTTTTCTTTTCATCTTGACTCTGTATAATGCATATTAAAGTTCATAAGTGCAGCGCTGCTTTGTTTACAGCGGAAAGCAAGGAAACGCTTTAAGCGCCACCTGCTGGCTGAGAGTGAATCTGGGTCTCATTCAGCTCGTCTGCTGTTTTTGTTTCATGCAGATATTTGCATGTATAGTTTCACAAAACTGAAGTCAAACCATTCTGTTTTTGCTTCAAATTTCGAAATTATACAATCCAATTTAGATTAAAGACTACTCATCTCTACAGCATCTTTTTTTGGATCATGGTTAAAATGCAGTGGTTGCCTCTTAATTTTAAATGGAAAGAGCACAGAGAAAGCCTTATTTTGTTTATATGAAGAGATTTATTTTATTTGTGTTATTATAGTGTTATATTTCAATTTCACAAAGAAATGTGCAGCATTTTGTCCAAGCAATAATTAAAGGACACATTTCATTTATAATTGGTCTTAAATCTAATTTTGTAAAAAAATAAAAAATCGTGAATCGAATCGAATCGTGAAATCAAAATCGTGAATCGAATCGAATCGTGGGTTGAGTGAATTGTTACATCCCTACTCACCACAGTTGCATTTTTTCAATCAAAAATAAAGTGAAACAGTAATAGTGTGAAATATTATTACAATTTAAAATAACTGTTTTCTGTTTGAATACATTTTAAAGTGTAATTTATTTCACTTAAATAAAGTTAATGCATCCTTAGTTAATTAAGAAAAAATTAAGTATTTAAAAAAAAATCTTACTGACCTTTTTCTATTATTTATTTGCACTGACCTTGTAAACAAGTTGTCTGACTTGTAAACAATGACCCATTTTGATTAGCATTCTGAGAATTGATCTAATTAACCTTTTTGCAGCCTTTATTTTTTTTTTTAAGTGGTTCTAGTTATATAACTGTTATAGATCTCCCCTCCGGTGTATCAGACATGTCGGAGTGTCTGACGCACATGCATCGACTATTGCACGATTCTAAAGTTTCTCTGATTGGCTGCTGCATGTGCCAGTGTGAAAGAGCAATAATAAGTCATTTATTTTACACTCATTCACTTACTCTTTAGAATAAATACCACCAATAATTTGTTTATAAATAAAGTTCACATCAATAAAAAAGACACAGTAATTGTATTGTTGTGTAAGATGTGAAGTGAATTTCAACACTTAATTTAAATGATAAATGTTCAATTGGATATTTGTGTACAGCTCTTGACTCAAGCCCGTCTGAATAGATCCTACTGAGTCATGTTTACTGTCTGAATCATGGCTTATATCAGCTTTCTGTGCAGACAGAATATACTGACAACGACATAAAGAATGATAATGTAATAATTAGTTCATTTTCTTTTTCTGATGGACTCTGCAATGATATTATATTTCAGTTATCTTTATTTTTCTCGTAAATGGAAAAACAATTGATATCTGCACTTAATCCTAGAGAGAATACTATGGTGGTTTCTGTTGTTAAGTACCTTTTGAATTCTTCTTTTTAAGGAAGTATTGCTATAGAATAGTATAGACTTACAGGGAGATGTTCTGGTCAAGCTCAGGCACGTAAACCTATTTACAAATAATTTACACAATGACAAGACAATGATCAAGATGCCTAAGAGCAAATAAACAACTAAAATTAACTAGTGAGGGATTGACAGTTAGGTTATTTGAAAATAAAATTTTTTTATGTTTCATATTTTGAACATTTTTTTTTAGTAAATTTTTAAATCGTCTTTTGAAATTTGTATATTATCATACTAAAAAAAGTAGCCAGTTACAATAATATTTGTGTCACTTTTGATCAATGTAATGCATCCTTGCTCAATAAAAGTATAAATTTCTTTACAAAATATAGATAAAAAAATAATTTATTGTTACTAAATAACTCTGTGTTCATTTTAATTGTCATATTGTGGTAAGAGAAAACAAACTCATGATTTCCACCTTTACAAATGATAAGTTTAATATTGTATTGGATAATCTTATGCTAATCATGGATAATATTGCATAGTCATATGACAGGGGCATGAAAACACATTGCATAGTATGAATGTCCCACTAGTTAACACATTAGTTTATAGTCTAGTGTGTAGCCTTTACATTTGACCTTGTGATGTCAACATTACCATCATATACCACTCCCCCCCACCCCACCCCACCTTACCTCACCTCACCACCACAACCTCTCTCTCTCTCTCTCTCTCTCTCTCTCTGTCTCCTTCCCTCCCTCCCTCCCACTGTCTCTCCCTCTCTCGCTGTCTCTCATCGTAGTGTTAAATATAGTCACTCTACTCTTGTTGCTGTAACTGACCACACTCTCGGCATCACTCAATAGCATTACGGGAGGAAGGAAGTGTAGAGCTCAGGTTTGGTTTAGTCTGGTCCTCTCCTCTCTGCTGAGTGGAGAGGGAGTGAAAGGATGCACAAGATCATGGGAGCAGAAGACTTTGAGCTGGAGTGGTGCTATGAGCAGTATGCCGATGGTAAAGTGATGTGTGTGTGTGTGGTTCATGTACTTTTAGTGTCTCCTTGAGTGGTTTCTGCATTGATTTCTCATTATCAGGGGTGTTTTTGTAGATTTTGAGGTGTTTCATTTGTGTGTTGTGGGCTACTTTTATCTGTAAATTATTTGGATGAGATTCAGAAGTGCTTTAAAGCTAAACATTCTCCTTTTTACTCTCTTTGTCCTTTTTGAGTGTAGCCTGAGGTCTCTGGATGGCTTTGTGCATGCGTGTGTGTGTGTGTGTGTGTGTGTGTGTGTGTGTATGAGAGAGGACAGCATGCTTGACTTATTGTTTGCTCAGTCTAGGGTCATTTCCTTTTCTGACAGTATGTCCTCATAAAACTTTTCTTTCTCTGTCTCATAACCAGTCTGTAAGCGTTTAATATTTTTACAGTCAATGTCCCGAGGCTGTGCTCTAAATTTAGATGCATAATCCTTGTTAAAGCAGTTTAGGAACTCAGCAGGAGCAGGCATAAAGTTCAGTCTTTGTCTTTTGAAGAAGACTTTACTGCATATTCAGTTTTGTATATTGAAGTTAAGCTTCTATTTTATAATATCCTTCTAACAAAAGTAGTTTCTCTTGCCCACATCCTTGTACACTGAATTTAGTATCAAATGTTTCATTAAAAGGATGTCAGAAAGTTTATATTTTTATATTTTATCTCTTATTACTTTTTATTTTTGTGTATACTTTTGTGTGTGTGTGTGTGTGTGAATGTATGAGCTTGTGATATAACAGTAATTGTGGCTGATCTGATTCTGGCTGACTGTGGATGGAGTTGCTGGGTAACAGCACCATGGAAACAGTTGCCGGGGCAATCACGCATGGTTTGTCATTGATGTTATTGTAAGAGCGTGATGGTGCGAGGTCAGCAAGCCAGTGGCCCCCCTCCTATCTATGTAAACTCACATTAGATTTCTGTAAGCTTGAGAGTTTTTATGTCAGGATAATATTTAGGTCAGGTATAACATAATATTATATACAATATAATAATTTTAGGTCAGGTCTATGTAAGAGTTTTTCCACATTGTACTGAACTCTTCTTGTACTGAAATTGTTGGTGGAGCTGGTTCTGTTGGCTTCAGTTAGGATATTTAAGGGCTTTTCAGCTGTAGTTTAATTTATAATGCACAACCATTTTCAACAAACTCAACACTTGTTATTTCTGTTGAATCAGACAGAAGGTCTCTGATGAAAATTAAAGTAAGCAGAATTGTAATGTTTCAACGTGCCCATATTAGGGCTGATTTCTTATTCATACAGTCTTTTGTTTCGGGATCAGGAGTCAACAGGGAAGGGCAGGAGTTTCTGCCAGAAGCGGTTCCTCTCTGGACATTCTGCAGCAGAAACTTCGAGACCTGAAGGAGGAAAATCTCTCTCTCAGATCAGAGGTACATGCACATGCCAAAGCAAACAATAAATAAATACATATATATTTATAAACGCATTACCATTCAGAAGTTTGCAGTGGGTAAGATTATTTTAGAAAACAATAATTTCAGAAGAACAGCTTTTACTTGAAATAGAAATCTTTTATAACATTATGAATGTCTTTACTACCTCTCTTGATTAATTTAATGGGTCCTTGCTGAATAAAAGTATTAATTTAGCTAAAAATGAATTTGGAATGGCAGTGTATATATAAATATGAGGAACATCAGCTCATTCAATTCAATAAAGCAAAAGCAAAAGAGGAAAGATATTTTGGCCAGTAGCAATGTATATGCCACTGGCCAATTTCCATGTGTGAATAGAAAAAAATATTGATTTCTATTGTGCGTGCTGTGATCACAATATCTTACAGCATATCTATGACCTCTGTTAGTCAGAGTCATTCTGAATTCACAGTGAACAACCAGCAAATGGTCGAGCAAATAAATATATGTTATGCTTATGGATGGTATTTCATGTTTCTGGAAGTTTACTGATTCCACCATACAAAGATTGCAATCTTTTTGCTTTTTTTTTTTTTTTAAATGTCCCATCTTGATTTGATGTATTTAGAAAACATTTGATTGAATATTCTTAGAAATGACACAGAACAGATCAAATAAGACACACTTGATCTTTAAGTAGTACCAGTCTCTCTTTCTGTCCCTAGGCGAGTCAGCTGAAGTCTGAGACAGCGTCATATGAGGACAAGGAACAGCAGCTGGTGAATGACTGCGTCAGAGAGCTGAGTGAGTGATGCTTTGTTTAGGGCTTAGGTGGAGGTGTAGAGCTCTATATTTTGACAAAAAAAAAATAAGTCCACTCTTTCTCCTCATACAGGGCAGTCCAGCATCCAGATCTCCAGTATAGCAGAAGAACTGGCCAAAAAAACAGAAGACGCCTCTCGCCAGCAGGAGGAAATCACACACCTTCTCTCTCAGATAGTGGACCTGCAGAAAAAAGCCAAAACTGTGAGAATCCTTTCGTCTTTCACTTTATTGGCGTACATGAGATAAATATGTGCTAAGATTTATGTGTGTATGTTTTTGACAGTTTGCTGTTGAGAATGAAGAACTTTCTCAGCACCTTACGGCAGCTAAAGATGCTCAAAGACAGCTTACATCCGAGGTACTTTATTTCAGACATAATAAACAATATTCCACATATTTAATCTTACAAAAATATACCTTCATAATATATTCATTCATTCTGTGTAAATGTTATTAACAATTGTTGGTTCCTCACACATACACAGCTGCAGGAGCTGGAGGAAAAATACTCCGAGTGCATTGAAATACTCCATGAGGCTCAAGAGGAGGTCAAGAACCTACGGAACCGCAGTGTGTCCGCAGGAACTCCTCGACGCTATCACCCTCTGGGACTTTTTCCCATGGTGAACACACGTGCGCACACACACACAGACAGTTATAGAACTCATGCGTTCAGTAGCAGTCAATTTGCACTGCTGTTCAAAATTTTGGGGTCAGTAGGATTTTTAAAAAAAATTTATATATGTTATTCAAAGTATATAAGTGACAAAACGTGTAAAAGTGATAGACTTTTACATTGTTACAAAACATTTCAAATTGAACTTTCTATTCATCAAAGAATCACAGTTTCCACAATAATATGAAGCAGCACAACTGTTTTCAAATTGATAATAAAAATTATTGTTTCTTGAGCACCAGAACAGCATATTCAAATGATTTCTCTCAGTTCATGTGACACTGAAGACTGGAGGTAATGGCTGCTGAAAATTCATTAACCACTTCTTTTAAATTGTAATATTATTTCACAATAAAAGGATGCATTTTTAATGCATTTTAGTCTAATAAATACAGCCTTCAAAAACATTAAACAAAATCTTATTGACACCAGACTTTTGAATGGCAGTGTACTTGAAGCTATATAAATAAAAACATCCTAACCGGTTTGGTATTGACATTTACTTGTAAATTTACTTTTTGGCCCTGGCAATTTGTATTGTACACAAATACCAAATTAATTGAAAATTATAATAGTACAAAATATAATTTCCCTGATTCTAAGATATTTTCTGTAAAAGACTATAAAAGTCTGAGAGGGGAACAATCCCAAAATAGAAAAATTGGGGCAAATTTAATCCTTCTAAAATGTCTGAAAATAACTTAAATTCTAAAATATCATTTAAAATGTATAATTACTTATTATATATAATTGTGTGATTTTTTTTATTTATTTTAATTTTTATATCATTCAAGGAGACAGAAAAGTTCCCCAAATTGAATAATCACCCATATGTATGTGTGTACCTACTTAACCATATTTTGGAGACATAATCGTACTCTAAATTGAGCTAAATCTGACAAAATTTCAGTTTGAGAATGTCCTCATTGGTAAAAACGGTATAAAGTAAATAAAGTTTTTAAAGTTTTTTTTAACTGTAAAAATGTAGAAAGTCTTTTAAGGTTTAGAGTGTGGGTTAGATTACAGTATTTATAACAAACTGTATATAAAAAAATAGAGGTCTATAAAATGTCCCCATGTTGATAGCCAAGTAAGCGTGTGTGCATATGTGTTTTAGGACTCCCTGGCTGCTGAAATTGAGGGAACCATGAGGAAGGAATTGAGTCTCGAGAATCCTGATAATGAAGAACAGAGGTTTGAAATTTACCTCTCTTTTTTTACTTTCCATCACACAGCACATTTTCTTGTATTGTCATAATCTGAATTAGTTCAATATCTCGATTTATCTTTTCATTCAGAAACAAAATGTGCTTTTGTCTCAAGGGTTCGTCATAAGCGTGTGTTTGAGACTGTGAAGAACATCAACCAGTCTGTCAGACAGCGATCTGCTAATTCTGCTACCAACATCCCTGGATCCAATCAGATGCTCTCCTCCCTTAGCTCCGCCCTCTCTGACAGCAATGGCAACAATGCAGCGCCTGATAACCGTACACAGAGCATGCTCCAGGAGACCGGCTCCTCAGATGCTGCGTGAGTCTGTTATGAGGCTATGTTTACAGAGGCTGTAAGAAAAATTACTTTAAATTGACCTTTAGGTTACTTAAAATATTCATGGGATTGAAAGGCCACTGGTTCTGGCACACTTGAATTTGAGTTTGAGCGTCATTCTCAGGAATCCATGGCATTTGTACTAGAAGATTTTAGGGAATTTTTAAATATAATTATTATTTTATTTTAGAAGGTCAGTGCTGAATTACAATTTTTACAATACAATTCATTGTTTGAAATGTTTCTTTGAGTAGACTTTTTTTTTTTTAAATCATACATTTAAGAATAAAATAATAAAAATTTTGCATTACACAATAAACAAAGTCAAAGCTATGAAATAATGTGACTAATTTCCGCATCCTTTTAAATTAAATTAAACAAATGCCACAGTTTCCTGAGAATGACCCTTGTTTTCAGTCATAGGACTTACCTTGTTCTCTGCCTGCAGTGTGGATACCCCTGAGAAGCGATCTGGCCCTGAGGAGCTCAAACTTGCTCTGAGGCGACTGTCTTTGCGACGGCAGAACTGTCTGAGTGAGCGTCTCTTCTTTGAGGGGGAGCGAGAGAGGCGTAATCGGGAGCCAGCAGACAGTGCAGATTACTCAAACAGGCTGGTGCACAGCGAGAGCATCATGTCCCTGGGCGCTTGGGCCAGTCGGCCCTATCTTCCCGACAAGCTCCAGATTGTCAAACCTCTGGAAGGTGACAGAAATACCCAAAATATCTATCCTAAGACATTCCTGCGTTACCGTTCCAGGCCACGTCCACCCACTATGATACTTTTCAATTCACTGTGGGGGCTAATGCATCCCCGCAAACACTCATACTTTAGAGAGTCCCGCTCCTGGATACATTTACACTAGCGATCAGGTTATGACAAAGTTTTGAAAATGGATAAATGGTAAGGAATAGTTCACCAAAAAGTCAAAATTTTGTCAACTAGCCCTTTAATTCTAAACAAATGCTAATTTTGAAGGAAACACTCCCTCCACTGTATCACTTGGCTGATGTAAATTATTTACTGTTATGCATATTCATATATACTATAAAGGCTCTTTAATATGAGGAAAAATGCAGGACTTTATTTGTGTTTTATGTACGCTAAACCATGAATGTGAGATGTGAAAGAGTCCGATCAGTCATATATTCTAGTGATGTGATGTAATGTACACGAAGTAGTGACTGAAATACAAAGTTTGTTGTGAAAGTTCTTGGGGGAAGAAATTCTGTTTTGTATTTTATTAACGCCACCTAATGGACAATGGGTGTAATATGAATATTTTCACTTTTGTCTGTCTTATTCTTAAGTCTTCAATATTTTCTGTTTCTGTATTTCTTGTACTTGTATTTTTTTTCACCTCATTTTGGTTAAATTCTGTTCTGCACTTTCATTTAGTATATCTTCAATAAAGTCACTTCATCTTATTCTGTTTGATATTCTCATTCTTTCTTTCTTTTGTTTTTCATTATCACATCATTGCACCATTGTTAATATGTGTGTTTTCACACTGACCTGTGTAAATAAGGTTATATTATCACACAGTTCTTCTCAGCATCCCTCTTGTTTTCTTCTTTTTCTAGGCTCGGCTACACTTCAGCACTGGCAGCAGTTGGCTCAGCCTAATCTGGGTGGTATCCTGGATGCTCGACCTGGTGTGGTCCCGAAAGGCTTCCGTCCCTTGGAGCTGGAACTGGAGGAAGTATATCACTATGCTGACTATGAGGAAGATGAACCTGGAGTGCAGTACTTCCAGAACCTTCCCACCACATCCAATCCCAGTGTCCCTCCTGCCCATAGCCTCGCCCCCTCAGCCTCCCCGTCACCATGTCTCAGCACAGGTCATGCTTCCATAGACTTCTCAAGTAAGTCAACCAGTTTTGTGTCCTATACCCAAAATTTTGAATGTGATGCAAAGATTGATATTATAATAATGCTAAGAAAACTTTCCCATTGTTCCAGGCAAACAATTTCCTATAAATTAATCTTACAAATGTATTGTTATTATTTTAAAACCATTTATTTGGTAAATATTTATTTAGATAAAACGAATTAAACTGCATATTTTCTGTGACTAGTTCTTATATGACAATTTATGACAATTTAGTAGCTCAATTAAATACAAAATTAATTTTCAAAATGTATTTGCCCATTGTCCCAGGCTAACAAATTTTGAATTTCGAGTTTACAAATTTCTCAAATCAATATGTCAAATACATGTATTTGGCAAGTTGCCAAAAATATTATATTTTATTTATTATTTCATTCACTTTTCCCCCCCATAAATTTCATAAATTATTATTTAGATAAAAATAAATAAACTCTGAATTTGTTTTGACTACTCTCAGCTCTTGGATCTTTTCCAGTGTATTTCCCAGGGAAATGCATGGCTCATACAAGTTCAACCTACACCTTCACCACCTGCAAAATCCTCCATCCGTCTGATGAGCTTACAAGGGTGACACCCAGGTAATGCACTGTCCTGTAACTCAGACAATAACGGATTAGCCAATCAGCACGTAATTTTCTGCTTTTCTGTCCAGTTTAAACCCCGTCCCCACTTCGTCCTGCGTGATGTCAAGCAGTCTGCGCTCGACACCTGCCGCCACGCCGTGTACTCCTCGGCGAATGAGTCTGTCCCAGTCTCAGTCTTTCACCAACCTGCGGGACTCCACCAAAACCTTCAGCACATCTTTGGGCCTTGTGCGCCTCTTGCAGGAGAGAGGCATCTCTGCTGCAGTGTACCAGCCTCACAGCTGGGACAGAGGAAGCGGAGGAGCTCTCTTCTCCACTTCAGTTCTTCCTCCTCCCGACCAGAATCGTCCCACCACTCCGCCTAATTCCCCCACCCGCTGCACTCCCAGCCCCAGTTCGGGCGTTTCTGATGTAGATACCTCCACACCTTTCTCTTTTAAGAGCCCATGCTATGAAAACTTTTTGGCTTCCAAGCCAGCAAGGTCCATTTTGAAAGAGGTGGCGGGGGTGTCTGGGGCTCAGGCTAAAGACTGTGAGAGCCAAACCGATGTCAGTATGTATAATCTCAATTTAGTTGATAAGCTGAAAAGGTTGGGGTTGGCAAGCCCTGGGGCTTCTGGGGCAACAGGGGGAGGGATTCCGAGGCCAAGCCCACTTATAGGTCCTCTGGGTGGGCTTCGGAGGGCAGGGTCCCCCTTTAGTCCACTGAACGAAGGTATGAGGAGGAATCGGAGCTATCCTGCTATGGTTGGTGCCAGCATGGCAATGAAGGGGCCCGGCCCTCAAGGGGACGAAATGCTACTGGCTCCTAAACTACCCAAGCAAACAAGTCTCAAATAATGAGTTGTACATAATAATAAATCACACAATCAGTGGATTGTTCCTCGCTAACTTACTAACACAGAATTCAAAATTTAACTTGTAAAAAACATACAGTAAAAACACACTTAAAGTGAAAATTCACCAGAAAATTCTGTCATTTACTCACACTCATGTTGTTCCAAACCTGTATGACTTTACAGAAAACAGTATTTTGTAGAATATTTCAAAATGACTGGACCCCACTTACTTTCATTGGATGGCCAAAAAAACTAAACAAAACACTGAGACATTTTTCAAAATATCTTTTGCACTTCACAGAAGAAAGTAAATCATACAGAATTTTATTTTGTGTGTGTTCAGCAGAGGAAACAAATGCATACAGGTCTGGAACAACATGAGAGTGAGTAAATGAGAGATTTTTCAATTTTATCCTTATGAAAACGTATACATATGCAGATGGAAGTTTAAAGTGTTATTTTAATTCAGGCTGAACTGTCTTTATGTTCTCTCCTCATCAACTCACTGATTTGCCCTGTACAATCGAATGTGATGTGTATCCTGTACAGATGGTGCTGATTGTATGTAACCTTTAACCTCACTTTGACTTCCCACTGCACATGCAGGAAGGAATAAATCATCAAAAACCAAATGAACTGGTCACATGTACTCTCTGTGAATTAGAACTACGTTCAGTTATCACAATTGACGTGTAGTTTTCGAGCTGAGGGCATTTCCAGGGTATATGAAAGTGTATTGATCTGGGATCAATGCTGTTCTGTTCCTGCTTTCAGCAACTTTAAAAATGTATTTTCCCCAGTTGCCTGCTGGTTTTGAAGGGTGGCATTTGAGGCTGATGTATTAATGCTGGCAGAGAATGTGTAGCACAGTTTTAATCACCCACCTTGACCAACTCTCTTTTCCTCCCTCGTCTTTGTCTTGTCTATACCTTTTTTAGAAGACAAATCTTTAATAATGAAGTGACAATTGTAGCTTTTCATTTGATGAGTGGTTGAATGAATTGAGGGTTGGCAACATGGATAGACTGATTTCAGAAAGTGCTGCTGTCTTGCTGGTTTTCTATGATAAAAATGCGAGTGCCTGTATTTTAGTCATCTGTCACGTCAGAGTTTTTACTGAACGATTGGAAAACGTTGGAGAGCACTGTAAACTTGAATGAGCACTGAGCACTTGTGTTAAATAGCAATTTTAGTCTCTTTATTTATTCATTTACCTTTTGTTGTTTCATGTTATTGAAATGTGCACGTTGACGTTCTATTGTGCTGTTTAACACCACCTGTTTTTGAGATTTAGTTGCTCTCAGGTAATGGTCGTAGAAGGGAAAAGCTTTTAGATTAGTGACTACCCAATCATGTTTGTTTGAATTTTTCTTTTCAAATAAAAATAAATGCAGAGAAATAAAGGTGATGGTTCTTGTCTGTTGATGCCCATAACGATCACTAGAGGGCAGTGTGTCCTCATTTGTTTTTTCATTCTCTTGTCTTCCCACCGATAGCCATTAGTTAAAAGTTTGTACCTTTTTTACAGTTTTTCATGATTAAAAAAAGCTTTTAATGTAAAGGCTCATAATGAAATGTTTGAATTGACTTTATGCAGTAAAATCTCTTAATTATTAGAAGCTTACTTTTTAGATAGCTTTGATATGTTTAACATTTGCTTCTGCTCTGGAATGGCAGTCCTTCTCTGATTATGTCAGTTTGATGGCTTGGGCAGAATGTCGTTTTAAAAACACCCCTCCAACCGTTAGTTTGATATGAGTGAGAGACAGAAAGGAGGAGCGCCAAAATAAAACCATGCCCTCTATTCAACATTCCGTTTCAGAAGGAAATACGTCACTACACTGAAATAAAGTCGGCAGCAACTTCCGGTTCAGCGAAGGTCAACTAATTTGGCGCGTTTTCAAAATTGGCGCGAAGAATTGCCACAGGAATGAGGTAAGCAGTGTTTTTTTATGTGCATTTTCTTGCGTTGTGTTTGGTCGGAATAAATGAATACGCCCCTACGAGCTTTTGTTTGGAATTGCATTTGCAATAAATGAGACATTCTACCAGAAATATACATTATCTGTCTTTGACTTGTTACAGTGAATAAAAAGTATTGCATCCAAGAAATGTCTAAAACTGACTGATGGCTGATTTCTGTGAGTTGTTCTGTAAAGGAATATGTCATTCATTAGGTTCTCAGATATTTTTTAATTTATTAAAAACACTTTTGAAAATCACAAATCCTGTTCTTGTCCTTGTCCCCAGCCAAATTGAACCTACATCTTTCGTAGTTTTGTTAGGCTAAAAACTGTTATTTAGAAAAAAACTCCCACCAATAACAAGTTTAAGTTGTTATCATTCACATCAACTGATTAAAAACATGAAATTATACATACATTCTACAAATAAATACTATTTTACAACTGTCCCCATGTTTTCGGTCAGTCCTGTCACGTTTGGATAAAACTCAACATAAAATGTGTGTAATGCTCCTTTAAAGGTATGACTTGACATAATTTGACTGAGGTGAAGCTGACACTGATCAAGGGTGAGTTCTGTCATTGAAGTGTATGATTTTTTTGAGGAGGACAAGCTAAAGGGTCAGGCCCTGTCACGGTAAAACATCACAGAAAATAATGATTTTTAAAAAAATCCAAAACATCTAAAAAAGTTACTGAAATTCCTTGATTGCATGTTAACAGTTTTTATGCTAGCAGTAATGCTCCTTTAAAGGTATGACTTGACATAATTTGACTGAGGTGAAGCTGACACTGATCAAGGGTGAGTTCTGTCATTGAAGTGTATGATTTTTTTGAGGAGGACAAGCTAAAGGGTCAGGCCCTGTCACGGTAAAACATCACAGAAAATAATGATTTTTAAAAAAAATCCAAAACATCTAAAAAAGTTACTGAAATTCCTTGATTGCATGTTAACAGTTTTTATGCTAGCAGGCTGAGTAATGGCAGTTTAAAATGGCCGACCGTCAGGCCCTGTCACATCAGGTCTGACAGTCCTGTGACACTGCCTTACAAATGAATAGCATTGTTGTTTTTTTATTACCTTTATTGCATATAATATGTATTTAACGCATGACATAGTAAAACATTTGAATAAATAGACATTACACTGTAAATCTGAAGCTTTTTATGCTCCTCTACAAATTTTTTGAATTCCTCTTTTACCTAGGCCTGTGTAGCACTGCATATTAGTATATGAATTGTATTTCAATACATATGAAGAGTTTATTTGCAAAAACAGATAACTCAGTTTTTAACAATTCTCTGAAATCATGTTTTTTCATTGTGCATTCCAATTAATCTCAATCAAACTTTAGTTGGGTTATTTTGATTAGGTAAAAAAAATACAGCTAACTAACACAATAAAACAATAAAAACATGATTACATAATAAAAATGTCAAAAAACAGTTATCTGTTTTTGCAAATAAACTCTTCATATATAGATGTAATTGTCATTTATATAAGCTTTATGTAATGAAGACTAATTATTCCAATTCATACAGATACCATGGTAATATCTACATTATTACCTAGGAAATTACATGCAATTTCCGTTATTACAATGTCATTTCCTAAGTAATAATGCAGATATTACCATTGTATTGCCCTTTTATTACTGAGCCGTAATATTATGTGGTACCACAGTTACTTTGTGCTATTCAGTTAAATGTCTATACATTTGCTGTATCATAGTAAAATATACTTTATATATTATGAAGTTATATTTATATTTATTACACCCGCGTAGGCGTAGCACAACACAGGGTTATTGTTTTCACTCCTGTCTGAGTTTGTGCCATTCAAGTTGGTAATTGTTATTGTTAAATTAATTTTAACATAGTAGTAGTACCATTACAATTTTGTTTTCACTCCTGTTTGCGTTTGTGCCATTGTGCAATTCTAGTTGTTTATTTTTATTGTATCTATATATATACCAGAAAATACACATATAAATGACTCCAAACTATGAAACCAAGTCCAAATCATTAAAATGTGTGTAATGCTCCTTTAAAGGTATGACTTGACATAATTTGACTGAGGTGAAGCTGACACTGATCAAGGGTGAGTTCTGTCATTGAAGTGTATGATTTTTTTGAGGAGGACAAGCTAAAGGGTCAGGCCCTGTCACGGTAAAACATCACAGAAAATAATGATTTTTAAAAAAATCCAAAACATCTAAAAAAGTTACTGAAATTCCTTGATTGCATGTTAACAGTTTTTATGCTAGCAGGCTGAGTAATGGCAGTTTAAAATGGCCGACCGTCAGGCCCTGTCACATCAGGTCTGACAGTCCTGTGACACTGCCTTACAAATGAATAGCATTGTTGTTTTTTTATTACCTTTATTGCATATAATATGTATTTAACACATGCCAACATAGTAAAACATTTGAATAAATAGACATTACACTGTAAATCTGAAGCTTTTTATGCTCCTCTACAAATTTTTTGAATTCCTCTTTTACCTAGGCCTGTGTAGCACTGCATATTAGTATATGAATTGTATTTCAATACATATGAAGAGTTTATTTGCAAAAACAGATAACTCAGTTTTTAACAATTCTCTGAAATCATGTTTTTTCATTGTGCATTCCAATTAATCTCAATCAAACTTTAGTTGGGTTATTTTGATTAGGTAAAAAAAATACAGCTAACTAACACAATAAAACAATAAAAACATGATTACATAATAAAAATGTCAAAAAACAGTTATCTGTTTTTGCAAATAAACTCTTCATATATAGATGTAATTGTCATTTATATAAGCTTTATGTAATGAAGACTAATTATTCCAATTCATACAGATACCATGGTAATATCTACATTATTACCTAGGAAATTACATGCAATTTCCGTTATTACAATGTCATTTCCTAAGTAATAATGCAGATATTACCATTGTATTGCCCTTTTATTACTGAGCCGTAATATTATGTGGTACCACAGTTACTTTGTGCTATTCAGTTAAATGTCTATACATTTGCTGTATCATAGTAAAATATACTTTATATATTATGAAGTTATATTTATATTTATTACACCCGCGTAGGCGTAGCACAACACAGGGTTATTGTTTTCACTCCTGTCTGAGTTTGTGCCATTCAAGTTGGTAATTGTTATTGTTAAATTAATTTTAACATAGTAGTAGTACCATTACAATTTTGTTTTCACTCCTGTTTGCGTTTGTGCCATTGTGCAATTCTAGTTGTTTATTTTTATTGTATCTATATATATACCCATTCTCTTGTCTTCCCACCGATAGCCATTAGTTAAAAGTTTGTACCTTTTTTACAGTTTT